CAGGTATAACAAGCTTGCACGATGACCTCATTTTTCCATTCAAAACCCAACACCGGGTGTTATGTGATCATTCTTTAAGTGATATTGAAAGGGGGATCAAATCATATGAGAATTCATTCCACATGTATTGTCTTTGCCAGCTCTTCCATCCGAGCTGGGGGGCTGATTTGGCACCAGTTGCACCTCCTCAATTCGCTGCAAGACTCTCCTGGATGAAACGCGGTGGCCATCAATCGACCCACAAAGAAGGCAATTCTTGGCATGAAACCATCATCTACAGTAAGCCATGGAACTTGCTCGCCTATATATTGTTCTATCTACGCCGAGATGCAAGGCCATGATCCACTCACTGGCCTCGAACGCAGCTTTGAATCATCAGTGAATGGGTTGAATATTGAAACATTACTTTTGTAAGATACAAAAAGAAAATTGGTTGCCCCCTGAAAAACAAAACAGCATGTACAAAAGTAAGTTAAGTGATTCGATCATGACATTTCGGCATAGCAAAACCCCTTGAAGTTTGGCCTTTTCGCAAGCGCTGATGGTTGCATTAAAGACGATGATGTCCTTGGAGGAGAAGAAGGCGAAGACACAAATGCCCTCTGCGCTGAAAAATATACACGTTGGTAAGTGTGCTAGTGAAAATTCCCATAGAAATAGATGATTGTGATGATGCAATTATTTACATTATTTACCCATTTCAAATATGAATTTCCAATATATATTCCATGTGTTAGTTGATCAGCAATGATACCCAAGTCAGCCCACATTTCAAATTTGAGAATCACGTTGCGAATCCATTCATGTGGACATGGCTTTTGAAGCTTTAAGATGTTGCAAGTGTCTTTGTCTCAGTTAGCGAAGAAAAAGAAAATTGCGTTGGGAACCATACACTTTCAACATATGTCCAGATACAATAATTTTCTGCAACGATGTATGTTGGGGCCGCCATAACCCCACTCAACTCCCAGTCAAAACCCCACCGATGCACTGATGGGCACTGTCATTTAGTCCATGGTATATCACCAGTTACTTGTTTGTTCGTTGACCCGCATTTTTGTAAGTTCATATGCCCCATCAAAAATCGAAATGGTCAAACGAAAATGCAGGTATATAAGTATATAAAAACAATAACCTTCAGTAGTTGCTCAACCAAAAGCATACTTTCAGCAGTTGCTCAACCAAAAGCATACTTTCAGTTGAAAAGAAACCAGGTGGATCAAACATAACTCTTCCCATTTGTTGTAGCCTTACAGAACCAATGAAAGTATGTCATCCTTGCTGATAGGTCTATCCACCTTGTCAAAATCCAACTTTAACTGTACCCGTTTGAAACTAGATATTCACCGATATAGTCTAGTCATGTCTAGTCAAAGTAGACATGATGATTCATGATGATGACAGATATTATATGAGTGGCGGACAAAATTATTTTCCCCGTAATGGCCACGGGCAACGTTCCTTGTAAGTTGCACACATGTTGGATGCTACGCAACTGAAGGAAGAAACTGACGCTGCAGCTGCTGACGATCTATATGATCCTGAGGATGCTAGTGATGATGCTGAAGATGATGATGCTGTAATGATGATGATGTTGTTGATGATGATGATGATGATGATGTGGTGATGATCATGATGATGATGATGATGGTGATGATGATGATGATGATGATGCTCATTATGATGATGACAGTGCAAATAAAACAAGTAGTTTTCTGAAACGACGATGATGCATTTTGACATGCTGGATGTGCAAAATCATTGAAAGCTAACTGAGGTAGCTGTTTACAGCCCTGTTTGTAGTCGTTGCTGTAGAAAAAAAGCAGCCTACTCCAGATTATGTGGGAACGTGTTGGGATCCAGGGGTATCGGTGCTGGGTCGTCCCCTATCGGTTGTGAAGGTTTGATGAAGGCAAAGGCAGCTCTCTATTACTTTCAAATGCTAATAATTTGTCGGGTACTCATATGAGTTTGTCTAAATGTACTATAAGCAGAAAATGGTTTATACCAAGTGTCACAGGAAAGGCCGTCTGCCGCAATTTCCCTCAAGAAGTGGAGAGGCAACCTCAGCTTGGAGATGTGCAAATTGGTTTATAATTACTCCACTAAGGGTACACAGTAAATAAGCACTTTGCGTAAGGAAACCTGTAGCTGTAATTATGAACCATACATAACAATACTAAACTACGCAATTCTATATGGTTGGTTGGAGTATGGTTCACGGGTTGACTAACAATCATTGGGAATATATATACGCATAAAATTCTGGGAATACCATCAAATCGGGTATGGATGGGTATGGATGATGGTTGGAAACGAGTCCATCGCCGCCACAAAATTATCCAATCCGCTTGAGTGGGGATGGGCAAGCACAAACATATATCATATTAGGTATCTGAGATCACCACGAGGGTTTACCCAATAGTAAACCATCCCCAAAAGCCACTTGTAGAAACAATCCCCAAATGGCAGGTTTATGGTAGTTTATGGCAGGTTTCCCACATGAATGGGCTCATCCTTGGCCCCAGCTTGAGCAATTCGGCCAGGCTGCTGCCATTGTCCCACCTTCTCACAAGCGGTGCAGAGGGCGCTATAGGTCACCAGGTTGGCGCGAAGACATTGCCTTTCACGCGGTCGCACAACGGATGGCAGGGAGAGTGGTATTAATGGATTGGTTTTGTTGGGAAAATCTGAGGAAAATGGCGGGCTTTTGAACTTCCAAATAATATACCATGGCGTCCTGTCGATTTTGCACATTTTTACCACCAAGTCTGAGAAAGGTAGTGGTCCATGTCCCATTGGTTCAACATCAACAAAGCATTGGGGGTATCATGTCTAGCAACCAATCTGAAGAACGGCGCAGACTTTGATGCTGGGCCACAACTGAGGTGCCAAAGACAATGTCTTTGGGCATCTCCTAAGATGAACTCCAAACTCCTCCAAGCGCGTGCCAGCAACTTGATTTTTGGCATCTAAAAAGTCTTGATCTGTGAGCAAAATCTAGAGTTTCCTTGGATTCTACTGCTCAAAAAACCCCTGAATATCCTTCAACGAACAGAACGGGGGATCTAAAGAAACCCAGATGAATTGTCACAAAACTTCATTCAGAATCCACCCAATCCACCCATGGCTTAAGATTTCTTCACTTCCCCACAGGATCGGTCAAGTTGCCATTGGAGCTGTTCAAACAGATCCAAGGCTTCCAACCAGCGCCCACCTAAACACCCCAACGAACTGTGGAAGTGGACGCAGATTTTCTTGGGGAGAACCATCGGTGGGAGATCATGGGAGATTGAAGCCACGTGTAGCAGCAAAATAGATGAACATCGCAGAATACGTTTTTCAACTACAGTGATTATTAGTTGTGTGTTCGAAGAAGCAGAATTTGTACACCTTGTCCATCCAAAATTGGTGTGGTCCTGCTCAAAAAAGACGTGGCTATTTCTATATCCCAAGTAAGTACTATTCTTGAACCTCTAGGAATCTAGCGTAGAAAAACATAGGAACATCTATACCTGTGGCATGTTCCATTGCCAAGCTAGACTACCAGAGTCTCTAATGAAATCCCAAGCACCTCCACCCCCCAAAAACCGCCTTCTGAACAAGCCCGAATCACGGCACTGTAGCTCGAGAGCGTGGGCGACAGCGATGTGGCAGCAACGACATATCTCCAGAGTTCCAGGGCAACTTCCCATTCCTCACGCTCAGTCGAGATCATCAGAGCTGGGATTTATGGATGTAATTGATGGGATATCCCCGCCATAATATAGGTTTTGATCCATACCCACATGTGAGGTCATTGTCACCTTACATCACCTGACACAGATCCCTGAAAAGAATCTGTGAAGCAGGACGGATACGCATGGCATGGTGACCTGCAAACGTTTGTGGAAGGCAAATCACGTATCTGACTCCGCAGAGTCACAAAATTCGCTGTGGGTACAAGCCAGTCAAACACATGCTCTCTAGACTGAAGTTTTTTCTATAACGGATAAAATGCTTATTAAAATTACCCCCTCTGATAAACAGTTACTTCCTTCCCACCTGTGATACGTATGGCATACACATGCGAAGTTCCAGTATATCCCACTGCCGGCAAGAGACGTGCATCACGCACGCCGTGATGCTTGCGTTGTAACAAATGATGTTGGGCGCCCAACGAGTCCGCGGCATGTCGAACAGCAAGGCCACAGCCTCCCTGGCGCAATGCTGGCGCAGGCACCCTTGCGACAAAATACTCAACCGACATTGAGCAAATACCTTTGGGAAGTTATGGGTTGCAAATTCATAATCTCAACCATTTCTCTGATTCATAATCATCGGGACAGCAAGTCCAGGGTTTCTGCGCTTATTTCTATCGCTAAAACAACTCACAGCGCTTTTGCCCTTTTTGGGTCCGGAAAAAGCCATCACACCCAGAATTGTTCTTTTTTTTCGTACTCCGTCTGAATTTCAGTTGGTTGATGTACTCCAGAAAATATGCGGTCAGATTGTTGGTGGGTCGATCCGGTAAAACTCCTGGTTTCAATGGCACTTTTCTGGCTCCGATTCCAGCATGCCATGCCTCCACAGGTCAGCATCTGCACAGGCATTGATGGCAGCACCCAGGCACACGTTGTTGGCGGGCAGGCGTTTGGAATGCCTAGAGGCCGTACGAGGCCGTGAAAAGTCAATGGATTTAGAAGCCGCACTGATTTCGCTATGGAAAATTGGGATTGGACGATGAAAAATGGCGGTTTCACGATGGAAAAATTGAACACCAGCAAACATGGGACTTCAACCCACAAATCTTGGAGTGGAACCAGCAAAATGTAGGATTTGACCAAGGAATATTAAACAGTTCGCTGGCGATTGTCCAATGAACATCGATAGGAAGCCCATTGGTTTTCCCAAACAAAACCACACTCTGCTGCAAAGAAGCAAAAAATGACACAAACAAGGATGAAATCAATTAAAGGCGATTCGGTGTATGGCTAACGTAGTATCAGATTTACTCATAGATACCCTGCAGAAGGGTCAATGCTTAGCTCAGGATCTGCATTTGTATCAACTCCTGCCAGTCGGTTTGCCCAGAAGATGCATTTGGTGGACAGTGGGATTCCAGGACATTGACATCTACCAAATTTGGAAATGAACCATTAAGATTTAGATGGTCAAAGTGGTGCGCCCCTAATTGTATGTTGGGCTGTAAACGCATCCAAATAATTCAAAACAGAATCAAAAAACAATGTGCATGTATATATATATACACATTATATTAACATCCAAAGACATTGAACATATAGGTCTAGACCTGGAAAATCTAGGTACTGAAATCTTGGGTGTGTATATATATATTGCAGTATGTGTGTAGAATTGTATGGACATCTCCACTGTAACCCCCCACTTAATCAACCTACTCTTCAACCAGCTTTGCCAGCCATTGGCCACGCTATGCCACGCTGCATCCTTCGTAGCACGTGGAGTGCCTGGTCCCATTCTGCCGCATCGATGGCTGAGGAAAAAGTCACAAGGTCCAGCTCGAGGTGTGCCTGGCGGGGAATCGAGCGCTCAGCTTCTGTAATGGTTGACAATGGCTGTGACCGTGGTTTATAGCTTTAATCCTCTAACCAGTCCTTAATCCAGATTAGAAAACATGTTATAACTCGTTTATTTTCATGTCCTATCCTGTGATTGAATATTATTAAGTAGTCAATGGACCAATGGATGATTTATAAGTGATTGATTATTTAAAAATAAACTTGTGAATAATGGTTTGTATGAATGGTCTGTCACAATCATCTAAACGTGCAAATATGAAGAACGGGAGTCAATCTGCACATTGCAGTTGCCGACACAACTGGTGATATCAATGCGTTTGCAAATGGGATTGTCAAATTGGTTTATTTGATGAGATAGAACAGTATTGTTCCCGTATTTTTCCACATATGTCACATGTCTCCTATTTCTAGATTTTTGTACTTTTGGAGGATTCAAGATTCTTATATAGTATACCGCAATTCAGGAACGTCTCAGATCATTCCCGACCCAAGCCACCTCCTCAATCATATCCAGAAGGTGGATGGCCAACTGCCATTCAGCACGACTGCAAGCACCTTAGCGACCGCGACCCCAGAAAGATGCAGAACTTTGAAAAGGGGACTCCAAAATCTAAAGCAGTGCTAAATATAACAGATCCTATCTGGGGATTACTATACATAGACCAGGAATTGTAGCCAAATCCTACTACCTGGGAGGGATATGTGTATACTGTGAAACAAAAACCATACATACGATCTTCCTGGAAGGAGGTTATTGTGAACGATACTCATCGATAGGCATTAGTATGATGAAACCAGTTATCAATTATTTATAGATGATGAAACCTATTGTATATATATTATATCATATAATATCATATTATATATATATATTGTTTATATGATGACCCACACCTTACCATTTGGGAAATCCTTGTGCTTTTACGAGCCATGGCAGCCATGCCCTTTTTGGGGGGTTCTTCTTGTTGGCACCCACATGGTGGCAAGGATACCCCTAGAACTGGGATCTCGGCATCAACATGCACCAAAAATGGCTATTGAAGATGGGTATAACCGGCATGACCCACATCAACATAAAAACAAGGCTGTTTGATGGGTATAACTCGGTTTTTGACCCACCAAAACATTTTTTGCCCGGCACTGATCATGGCGTTGAAGGAGACGATGTCGGCTTGCAATGCAACACTCGGCATCGATGACAACAAACTCAAGGCCCATGGCCACTCGTGGCCTCAAGGGGTCGAGTCGTTGAGGTAATTACCTGTTGAACGACCCAGAAATGGAGAATTGTGGACATGTTTTTATCATATTTAACCAGAATAAACGGTATTAAATCATACAACATATTATAAAAATCATATTATATTAAACCAGAAAATATAATGTTATACCATATCAAACGCTATAAAACCATTCGTTTTGGGATCCAACAATATTGAACCATGCACTTTGCGACCTTGTGAAAGACAAACTGGCAAAAAAATGGGGGTGTCTCCAATGTTGTATCCCAGACATCATCATCTTCCCGTTCAGGGTACGCCGTTTCAGGGTACATCGCCGCTGCGAAATTGCCGACAGAAATTTACGAAATGGAGGTTTATAGCTGGGAAATCATCTAGAAATTCTAGAAATGGTGGATTTGCTTTGATTGCCAGAGGGTATCTCCTATTTAGACAAAGCCATTTGAAGGTCATAAGGTGCTGAGGAAAGTTTTTGACTCGATTTCCACCTTCTTGGCGGTCTCCCCAAGCTGTGGCAAACTGTCACGCCCTGAAATCCATCTTGCCATATCTTGCGATTTCAGTAGTTGCACTATTGTTCTGCAAAGTCTTGCTTGGTTGGCACATCCTTAACCGATTCGATTTAGCTAATATCTGTTAAACTCTGTTATAATACTGGAAAGAAACAACCACGAATTCCAACAAGCCAATCAAAGCAATGCGTTGTTTCTCTGGCCATTTGACATGATACATTCCACTCATACAACACAATTACAGTAGCGTGAATTGCAAGGAAATTAACCCTCAACCCTACTACAAGCATCACATATAGTATACAGTATGTAATATATATAATTGTATATACAATTAAATAAATAATTATATATATATACACATAAACATTGGTGGAAATCACCCCATCGGACACTTTTACCCTCTGGTTATGTAACATAGCTATGGAAAATTGCCCACTTATAGATGATTTATGATGCTTTACCTCTGAAAGATGGGTGATTTTCCATAGCCACGTTGAAATAAACAGAGGATACATAAACTTTTTACATAGTATTTCATGAACTAAACTAATATTTATATTCATTTCATATTCCATTAAACATGATCAGAGGGCGAGTAGGTGAATCAATATTACATTTCTAGTCCATTGATATTCCATTAGATACTGTAGTCCATTCATGTTCCAGTCAGATTTTTTCAGTAGATATTCCATGAATATGTCATTGTAATATCCCATTGCCATAAACGTTCCCACAAAATCCACCGACCCAACCCAACTGGCCTCTCTCGCATGCAGTGATCCCCGCATTCCACGTTTCTGCCGATGGCTTCGTCATGTCTCTCCTCGGACAATGAAACAGAAACCAACAGCCATGTAGCCTGAGCAACATGTTATTTATGGCACCACCAAGAAAAGATAGAACAACTGGAAACCTGGATTGTTTGTTTGGGAATTATCATCTATATAATCTATAGATCCTTCTGGAAGTACTTCTCTATCTCGTCAGGAGTTACAGTACTACTGTATATAGAAGATGTATAATATGCATGTATTGCTGCACACTTTGATATGAGTACAACGGACTTATCAACAATGTATCAGCATGTCGTAATACACGGTCACAATGCACTTCATATCTTCCACTATCAAATCATGGTATGTGAGGTATGGTCATCCCAACATGATCAGAAATTCCTTACAGTGGGTATGCTAATCCTATTGACGCTGGAATTACCACCCCCTTTATGGGAAAAAACATGTTCCATGTTTTGACCATGGCACATACTATTGATACCTTGGGAAAGAAGATGGAAAAACAACGGGCAACAATATATCTATAATATATTAAATTTACACATGTGATTATATACATTATATGTATTATATGTATGATATTGTATATATTATATATATATATATACATAATTATACATATATATGTGTATTATATGTAATGTAATGCCAACACCGGATTAATAACCCCCCCCCACCAGGTAGGTAGGTAGGTACCTTCTGGCTGGTTTTCTTGACAACCCCTAAATAAACGCACCCTGAACCATAAAATTCTGAACCATAAAACTTTGGATATGGCTTACGTCAATTAGATCTTAATAGAATTCCATTGGATTTGTTAAAATCTCATGGATCAGAAAGGGGGTTGATTAATCAGGGGCAAACCGTGGTTATTATTAATGGGGGACATGGGCTCATGGGGGGTACCCTTTGGGAGCTATCCAAACTGATGATTGTCATAAAGATTTTAATTAGAAATCGATCATTTGGGGAATAGTTGTTTTTTGAAATTTTCAATGATCAACTTAAACCTTAAGTATAACAATGATGATGGAAAAAAAGTAAAAAAGAATTGGAAATAAAAGGAATTGGAAATAAAAATTGCTGGATAAAAAAATGGATTTCAGAATTGGTGGTTGATTAATCGGGGGTAGGCCAAAAAAAATATTAATCATGGGGGACCACCTGTTTTTAAATTACATTTTTTTTTGGGCAGTTGCTGTTGATTAATCGGGGGGGCATTATTAATCCTCACTTGGCATTATATATATATATATATGTATATATATTTGATTATGTATGTATTCAACTCACCGCATGTCGATAAGCATCAGCAAGGCCAGGGCAATTTGCCAATGACCCACCGATCCAGCTGCAGTGATGGCCGCCAAAAAGCTGATGTTGTCGTGCTGGAGCTGCAGGACCGTCAGGTCCTGGCAGTCTCCGGAGGACCCCCGTTGCAGTCATAGCAAAATGGATGGGATGACCATGACTAACCCAAGGTTAAAGAATGATAATAACCATTACTAATAAAATATATCATGATTCGACTTCGTTTATTGAAACCCAAAGTTATAAATAATCCTCGCAAGGAAAATGGATGAAAATGGATGACTGGATGACTTCTTTTTTTGAAAACCAAGGTGAAATATGGTTAACTTTAATGGGAACCCTGATGACTTACGAACAAATTGAGAACCCCTCCGATTTTTTGCGAAGGGCAAATCTGAACCACCAACAACCACGTTTTTGTCAGGGCGAATCTTGATCATCTATGATATGGGAGGGTAAGCTTTGGGTTGGCAAGTTGGTTGAATCCACACAATCCCCATGACGGCAAGAAGTAGTACATGACCTGACTTAGAATTCAAGCACCAAAAGAGAAACAGGCAAAAGCTCATCGTCGAGCCCATCGTTCCACACCGTAAAGT